TTTGAACGTCACTAATAATTTTGGAACCAATATTCTGTCACTGAACCCTTGCACATCAACGACGGAATATCACTGAGTGAAAAGTGGCATTTATGGGTAGAGCGGTCGTCTCCCAACCAGAGGGTTGTAGATTCGAATCACGGTGCCTTGTCCAAATATCGAAGTGTCCTCGGGCAAGACACCGAACCCCAAGTTGCCCCAGATGGTTAGTCATCGGTGTGAGTTGGTGCCACAGATGGCTGCCTCGGCTCTGTGCCAGAAACAAATTCCTTGTGTGTAACACACTTGGCCAAATAAAGGTGATTATCCTAAAGTCATGTTCAGTATATATTTACTGTAACACACTTTTACATATGGCCAGGCACTATTTCAGGTCGATCTGGTCATTGTAATTGCTCCTCTGCCTCTTGAAGTGCATCATCACACAAGAGCATCGTTTGTGGACGTCTTTTATGAACAGACATGAAAATAGTTGTTGATTGGATGCTTCAGATGAAGGACTGGATGTCTACAAAACATGTATCCTCAGGTCTTCTCTACTAATCATTTCCTCATATCTTTTCCTTGCTTCTTATGTGGGCGGGACTAAAAGAAAGAAAAAACAAATGAGGGAAAGTGGATGCAATTAAGGGAATTGGGATTCACCCACTTGGTGCCAGCTGCTAGTGTTAGAATAAATTACACTTTCACATTGGTTCTATCTGAATTTAAGTGCAACTTGAGGGCATATGAATGAGAAGCATTAAGGAAAATGCATCAAGTACAGCTAATGCACATAGTAACTGTGGTTCAGTGGGTAGAGCAGTCGTCTCCCACCCTCCAGATTGGAGATTCAAATCTCAGTGCCTGCAGTCCACATGTCGAACAGAGGCCGACACTGAACCCCCATGTTGCCCCCGATGGTTAGAGCAATCGGTTGCTGGCGCCACAGATGGCTGCCTCTGTTCTGTACCAGAAACAAATTCTGTGTGTGTACCATACTTGGCCAAATAAAGGTGATTATTCTTATTATTAAATTATTTAAAAATGCCAATGGTGGCCAGTGCCATGTTTCCAGTGACTGGTAAAAGATACTCCAGTGGAGTTTACACCACCTGCAAATCTTTGACGGTGTGTTTTCCTCTTACAGCAGCAACAAAGCACATTAAACACAGCTGCCATATAAATACTCTTCCCTCCTAGTCATCAGTATTGAATGAAGTTAGATTAATAGCTATATGGCCACAGATCAAGTATATGAACTATAAATTTAAATAAACATTTTTTTAACTTCATAATGACAATTCTATCATGTCATGACTGCCAGGTGGACAGAGTAATGGGATCACAAAGTAATCCACCAGGAGTGTGTGCTTGCACATATTTGATGGCCAACACACTGTTCAGATTTTGCTTTAGGCGTTGCATTTGTAGTGGCCTCATTGAAATGGAGCTATATTTTGTTTCACATACTGCTGTTATCTGTCTGAATGTGGTCTTACAGTCCATCATTCAGCCTTGATGATAATTAATGACTTCTTGTCTGCACTAATTCAACAATGTGCAAAGATATGCAGGCAGCGTTACAGTGGAGCTGCCAGCTCTATGACAGCTGGAGCTGAAACTTTTCTTTTTCCCCCAAAGTGACTTCTTTTTTTTAATTTTGTAGCCTAAGGAGTCCAGAACAAAGAGGAGTTGGACCTTGGGTTGAGATAGCTTTGTCATCTGATGATAAAAACCATCTGTCTGCAGCAAGTACAGTCCTATGTCTAAGTGCTTAAAGCTCCCTTTACTTCACCACCTTATTGCTAGAGGTCAACACTGTATTCTCAGTGTGAATTGGTTGAAAAATGCTTAGTTGTCATAAAACTGCCCTGAATTTAACAGAACTAAACACAAGAGCAAAGGGCAGGGCACTGCAACCCATGGGTAAACGAAAGCTGAGAAATTGTTTAATACTGCTCTACTTCTTAGTGCAATTCATCCAACTTAGCTTGTTTGGTACTGCTGCTCTCATTAAAGGAGATAACACAGTGGAAGGCTATCACATGCCTCTTTCTGCTGTTTCCCCCTTCACAGAACAGAAGATTAAGCCAAAGAGCCAGTAAACAACTGGTAATTGGATAGCATAGTTTAGTTTTTAGTTGATTTTATTGATGTGAACACATTTAAGATTTTTGTATGTGTTAAATGTAATGTTTTGTTGTGGACCCAAGGAAGAGTCGTTACCCTGGTGACAGCTAATAGGGATGTGGATAAAGAATAAAACAACGTCGTACGCATTACTGAATCGACCTGCTGTACTGTTGCTCATTTCGTTCATAAACACCCATCAGTGAAAAATGATCTCCCTCTCCTCTATGACTCAAATACTCATTTTTTTCCCATTTCTAAGAAAGCATATATACTCCAGCATTATCTACAGGATAGCTGTTGTGCTTTATTGAAGAATTACAGCCTGTGACTGTTGCCCTTTCCGGCTGACAGCAGAACTGACTGAGCGAGCGAGCGATACACAGCATTATTGCCATGAGTTTGATGCCGCTGCAGCATCCTTCAAACTCTCCTGCCCGGCCATTTGCTTCTCTGCAATTTGGTCCCCCTGCTGAGGGTTGGAAGTACTGGCTCTGAAAAGGCACAGAAGTCAAAACCAATTATCCATGTTGCCTTGGGTGCCTCAAGTGTCTCCTGCCCTCCGCCTTTCACCATCACTCAGTTGCTGTCACAGTCCTTGAATAAGAATTCATTCATCTGAGCATGTTTGGTTCATTCATGTTGCATGATGATGGTGGGGGGTTGTCGCTGTGTTGACATGTTTTATAGTTCTACTGCACAGCTAATGGTGGGGTAAGGCAGAGAGAAGAAAGGAGGTGGGGAAGAGAGACAAGTTAGAAATAGGTGGAAGCAGGAGACAGTGCTTGAAGAGGTAAATAAGTGGAAAACATTTATATTATTTTAAGGCAAGTGGGAGGAAGACTAGTGATGCAGGATGAGTCAGGTATGAAGGAGAACAAGGCTGAAGGTCACTGAAGTGGAAAGGTCACATGCTATTCCATGGATACTCTTCTGTTGAGAGAAGCACTAGACAGAGCAAGCAGTGAATTTCACAGTGACAGGCAATGCACCCTAAATGTGAAAGTGCTACATAATGGGGATGTTAGTAAAATCGCTTATATTTTTAAGCCTGGAACCCAAAATCAGGTGTCAATATAAAAGGTATTATGCTAATTTGAATACAGCTTAGAAAGGCTGAACACACACAGTCTGCCCACTGAGCTACTTGTAATAAACACCTCTGAGAAATGAATGAATGTGCACAAACTGAATTGAAATAGATGTGTATGCATAGCCATTCATTTCTCCACCTCGCTCAGAACCAAGGAGCAGATTTGTTTTATTGGAAAACCATGATGCAAGTTGAATTCAGTCACAACCAAGGGGTCTAAAGTCACCGTTAAGTCACCAGGTAGCAATAGCAGCATTTTATTCACAGCATCCATGATGTGCTGGAAGAAAAGGGGAATGGGAAGAAACCAGGGGTCTCCAGGAATTTGTAGCTTTCCAAATGCAGTTAAAAGTGGAAGTGTGAGAGATTCAAAAAGATCTTAAACATCTGACGTAAACGTGCAGTGAAAGCCAAATATTTTGCAGCAGACAAACAGATGTATGCAGAGCAAAGAGGAGATTGTACTGGCTTGAGTCGTTTTTATCCTGATTAATAGCGATTTTATTCTTGTTGTTTCAATTCCAATCTGCCATTTTATTGATTAAACTGGCTTTCATCACTGTTTAATTATTTGTAAAGCGCTTTGTGACACTGTTAAGGCCTATAAAAGCTAATAGCAAATCAGCAAAAGCAAAATAAAGAAAGGCAGAGTGAGTGGGTGCGTGCAGTCTAGGCTGAAGGGCACAAGGACATGAAAAGGAAACGCATCCAGGGATCAGACCTCATCATCTAGAGAGATTGGTGCACAATGAGCAATGGCACAAAGTATATGGTGAGTACATACACAGATTATGTGCCAGTGGATGAATACACAGACCACTCACATGGTGACCTTTGTCTTCCCATGTGTGAATACCGTCAAAGAAAACCACTGGTCCTCTCACACCAAGCACATGGACACAAACGCAACACACATTCGTTACCAAGCACAAAACACTGAAGATACACACAAAGTGCTTTTATAAAATAAATGTGCATGGATAGACCCCTATCACAGACAGGTAAAGACAAAAACACACTCAGTCATGCAAAAATACCCAGACAAAGAGGGAATCCTGTTTTCTCCACTCAGACCTCATATGGCCGTGTACGTTTAACTGTGGTGCTGGAACCTACTATATGGATCAGTGTGGCAGAGCTATAATTCAAGTGCTGGCTGATGTCTGCATGCACACCTCAAGATATTCTTTCATTACAAAAATTTCCATCAAGTAAAGTCAAGGACACTACTGTAATATTATAGTACTTCTCAACGGTTTTTTTCAGCTCTCATCTGCTTGTATATATAGCAAATAACACCATATAAACACCAAGCTCCGACGCCTAAAAGTCAAACGTAGGCTACTGGCGGTTGTTTGACTTATGACTTGACTTTAAATGTGATGACATGCTGCTTTGCAAACCGAGTGTAGATTACATGACATATGGCCTAAACCAAAACTGCCTACATTCATGAATAGAAGGAGAGAATAATGTTACATAATTAATATTACGAGCAAGTGGTAAGTGGGAGTGTGCCCAGTTGGGATCTGGCATTTTACCACTCACTGTTGAAACTGGACTGTCTCACATTCTAGAAGAAAAATGTGCCATTGCAGTGAACCAAGAAATAAGTTTCACTGAGAACTACACAACGTGTACAGAAATTACCTTGTAAATGTGAACTGTGCACAACACCTGGGTTTGCTGCTGTAGCTGTGGTATAACTACTTGGTTGAAGAAAGCCTGTTAGGAACTGCTCTACTGTGCACATGTGGTCTGCCAGCACACAGTAAGGCAATTCATTAAAGCCTACCTCAATCCTGCCAGTGTCTGGCTGGAAGCCTCTGGCTGGGTCTTCAGTCGTCACTCTGCACTGGATCGCGCAGCCATTCACCCTGATCTTGTCTTGTCTGAGGCCCAGTTCTGGCAGGCTGTGGCCCTCACACACATGCAGCTGGGCATGCACCAGGTCCACACTGTTGGGGAGAGAGAGAGAGGAGATGAGGTGAATAAACTGACTAGCTCTGAACACATTGTGACTAGCCCTCAACTTCCCTTGATGTCACTGTGGAGAGCATTCATCCCCCACCCCACTTAAACCAAGGCTTAAAAGACCAGTAAGGCCACTTTATTGAACATAAACATCTTTAGCTGTTCTTGGCCAGAAACCTGGATGTGGCAGGCTAGAGGTTCAGTTTTTGAGAGGATTTTTCCAGCGCTGCTCATCTGGGCAAATGAATCAGTGATGTGTGACAAGAAAGCAATCCCTCATGGATACCTCTTAATAGCAAAAACAAAAGAAATTCTGGTTATAATTTGATGCTGCCAGAGCAGTGGCTCCTGGGAAAGAAAGCAAGATATAAACATAAATTGCAGCATAACTTTTGTTTGATTTCAGATAAGTAGCAATGTTAAGAAAACTATAAAGGATCTCACTCAACTAGGTCCATGGAAACTGGTCCACCTAAACCTGAAGTCTTTACATGACAATGAGCTGCAGACGATGTTTTAGTTAAGTGCATGATGTCGTTCTCTCCCTCTCTACCAAACATACTTTACATTTTATTCACATATCCAAGTATAAGTTTTTAGCTAGGAACAAATGCATGCATACACAACAGAAGCTAAATTTATTCAGTAATTATCTGGTATTAGGAAGTTTAGATCTGATAGGAACAGACTTTTTCTGCCCTTTGTGAGGTGTAACCCTTAATATCATGTTCATCTGAATTTATTTAAAAACACAAAGCTCAGTTGAGACCTTCTACATAAAGCTTCATGATCTTCTACAGTTTTATCTTTGTTCTTTAGACCAGGGGTGCTCAACCCCCGGTCCCCGGACCGGTACATGGATCATTTGGTACCGGGCCGCAAAGAAAAAAATTCGTGGTTAAAATTAGTTATTTTTCTTTCATTAGTCTTGGTTTGAAAAACGACTGTTTCCACCCTTGCCTCACTACCGCACTTGACTCTGGCACACCATTTTACGCGTCAGCAACACAAGCTAACCCTTTAAAAAAAAAATGAGCCAGAAACAAAATTCACTGGAGAGCTTTTTCAGGAAGGAATGAGGAAACGATGGGACAGCAGAAGGGTCACAGGCTGCCAGCAAAAAGAAAGCTGCATTTAAAAGGAAATACCACAATTCCTACCTAAGTTACTTGTTCATCGCAACAGGTGATACACAAGCTCCACACCCGCTATGCATAATTTGCGGTGACCGACTAGCTAATGAGGCCATGAAACCCTCAAAAATCCTTCGCCACATTGAGACAAAACACCATGCGTTAAAAGACAAGCCCTTGGAATCTTTCTAGTTGCAGGTAAACAAGCCCAGGGCTCCCACTGACTGTATTATGGTGAGTTGATATTATAGAGTAGAATTATTGTAATTGCCTAATATAAAGTGTAATTGTTGCATTCAGATTACATACTATGAACTGACAAAGGTTTTTGTTATTGGAACCCCTGCGCCTCTACCCGGTCCGCAGAAAAATTTTCATGCCTGAAACCGGTCCCTGGTACAAAAAAGGTTGGGGGCCACTGCTCTAGACCCATGTCTGCGTGGGTTTTCTCTGGGCACTCCAGGTCAGGTTGACTGGTGAATGCAAATTGTGCATAGGTGTGAATGTGAATGGCTGCCTCTATGAATCAGCCCTGTGCTAGACTGGCGCCCTGTCCAGGGCGCAGTACGCCGCTTGCCCAGTGTCGACCAGGATTGGCTGATTGGATGTTTTCTAGGCACATTTAAAATGCAACAATAGATGGACGTGACTGTGCTGAACCCCAGCCGCTGCCAACCATAAACACATTCAGACAACTGGGAAGCCTCTCTGCCTTGAAGGGTGAATGAGAGCCAGAAAGCTCACACATTAGCAAGCAAGCCTAGATGTTGGACTCATCTCCTTAATATATCAATTAGCTGTATTCATTCTGGCCAAACAGACGGACAATTATGCATCAGCCTGGTGTGAAATGTGTTGGTGGAAAAAGCAGATCCACTCTTGAAAACTTGGGCATTTGCTACTGTCATGTTTTTTTAACAGCATGAATATGAATATGCTGGTATTTTTTGAAAGTAAGACAGCTCAGCTCACATCCTTATAATACAGGGAAATGCCCCAGCAGTACTTATGGACATGATTCTCATTTTCCCAGGACTTTATTTAATCAAATGCCAATTTGTTTCCAGACTCAGAAAAGTAACTAGTCTTCATCGAGTCCATTACACTGCCAGCTCCTCAGGGCTACCTCCTTTTAGGAGACACTGCATATGGAACTTTTTTTTTTTTTTGCCTCTGTTGCATGAAAATGTTCGAGTTAAATATCTGAGAACAAAGTACCTTGCTCATACTCTAGCCTTCAGCTCAAACATTCCATATATTGATCATTTTCTTCATTTACTCATGCACACTTACAAATGCTAACTAAAACCAAAACAGGGTTAAAGAACTCCCATTTGTTCTCAGCCTACAAAACCCTACCACAGCATATTCATGAAGAGCGTTGCAAAGGAAAAACGAACAGTTAAAAAAAAAAAAACAAGTCTGAAAATTCAAAGACAACCAATGAGGTGATATACGAGTGTGTTATAATGGCTGCTTTTTACTAAGATGGAAGTACTGTAATATTATGCAAATAAGCAGATTTCAGTGACAAATGAGACAAGCGAGCATTTTGAGTCGACAAATCGCGCACCCTTGCATAGACTTTAGTACAAATAAATCAATTTCGGTCTAGTCCCTCCCCCGAACTTTTAAAACATAAGGCAACACTGATTGAATGAGAACCCTTGAGGGTTTATGAAAAACACTATACTAATTTGACTCAGACAAATTAAAGAGCCTGCAGCAACATCTGTCCCTCAGTGCAGCCAGTTACACAATAAAAGTCCCTGTATCATTACAGAGCTCCACAATAAGGCTGAACTACACATGAAGAGGATGAGAGTAATTGGCCTTCAGCTAAGTAAGAGTGGGAAATTCACAACACATGGACATTTCTAACAAGGCTATGATGACAATAAATACTGCTGGTTGTTACCGCTGGCAAAACTCTGGCTGTGTTGGAGAAAAACGAAGGATTAACCAAAAACAGCGAGGAGGATCGACCTGAAACATCTGTACAGAAGCACAATCAAGCCACATCATCATCAGCAGGGATGAGAGTTTAACAGTGAGACAAAATGACTAAGAATAATGTAGTCAGCTGCACAGTGTGATCTTATAGCGTTCACAATTTATTCACTGCTAGATGTCAATGTCAGCAACGTGCAGGCTTCGTGCTTCTCCATCTGAGCACCAGCATTTGAATTAGACAATGAAGTAGAGACTTAAGTCACCATATACTGTAAGATCCCAGAAAACATCCAAAGAAGGCAACTATAGTCAAAGTCAGCCACATATCAAAGCATTAGGGGACACGTATTTAAGTTTGCACAGCTATTCTCTGAATGGCCCAAACTAAGTGGAATGCTTCATCCTCTGCTGAAGCAAGGCAACACATGGACACACATGCTAATAAGCACCTAACCTAGATCCAACACTCAATGACCTATACCTGTGATACATAATGCATGACATCAACATGTTTGGAGCTCCTGACTTATTTATGTCAGGGCTAGATAGATAACTTGACAAAAACGTAAGAGTACAGTGCACAATAAATGTAATGAACATCTTTAATGTTATTTTACTGCTCATAATTTCACTCTCATCTTAACAGATTGTACTGCAATCATTGCTTTCTTTAGCTTTATATACAATTTCCCTCATATGCTGTGGTAACACAGATGCAACCGTTATGCCAACAAAGCAAATTAAAATGTAAAAATTGATGGTCTATGCTCCATTTAGTGAAACCATTATCAAAGGAAACTCTTAAAATTAAAAGGCTCTGCTGACATAGGGACAGAGCAAGTGGAAACTATGGCAAAGAGACCTTACTTAGACTCAAAACTGCTAACTACCAAGGGCTCTGAGTTCTCCAGGAAGCAAAAGTAAAGATGAGACAAAACCATGGCTTCCTCCAAGGTTCTCTAGTATTTCTTATTACACAAATCTGGTGTGTTTATACAAGGTGTATATAGCCTGTAAAAATGTTCTATTATGGTTATTTAAACTATAAAATAGATTATGAGAAAGGAACACAAAGAAAGCTAGAATCGAGAGAATAGTTCAATATTGACAGAGCAGTACCAGTTCTACATACATTTCATTTTTCTACTGTAATTAGTTTGAATTTTTGTATTTAACCATGTCCAAAACTAATCTCAACTAAAGCCATTTCATGTGCTCATTCTAAGGTGCAATCTGTTGTTGACCCCTGCTTCCTCCGACTCTGCATATTGTGTATGAACACTGCACACTACATACTGCAGTTTAATTATGTTGTGCTCTGAGCCCCAGGAACCAAGACGTTCTCCTGTGTTTGAACACTACCTGACCCAAGGTTTGCTTAGTGTCAGATTGTATAAATTTGATTAAGCAAATTTATTATGCAGCACATAAGCACACTATAAATAGAAATAATGGAGGTTAAAACTAGATTTAGACCTGGGGCAGCTCCACAGTACAGGTCCTCAAGATTTCATTACTGTAGGTAATAATACAGGACCTGCCTTAAGGCCCTTGTCACTAAAGTTTATATTTAGGTTTAGTAGAGTATATTCCTGAAAATTTGCAAATAATTACACTACAACAACCCCAATGAACAGATGAAAAACTGTTTCTGAATGTCTCAAATACCTTTCCATCCATATGGCATATTTATGCACTTGTACATTTACATTATATATAATTTTATCTATCCCAACTTTTGTCTAGTTTTTTTTAATAAGGAAACAAACTCCCACCAAAATAATTGCCTATTCTTTGCCTTTGACTATTTCAATGCTACCTAGTAGAACATTGCTTTGCCTCACTTTGAGGTTCTGACAATACTATATAAATCTTTAGAGATGTTAATTTGATGCCAA